CCCTCCTACAACCCTGCTGAAGGACAGGAAGAATCCTAAGCCACATATTTAATTGAGAACATCCATTCTTTCCAGTGTCTCCATCCTCCTCTGCTTTACACTGTATCTATCACTTGAGCTATACCTGCACAGAAGCTGTAGCTTTCATAATTTGAGGATGCATTCGAGAACTGTAAACAGTGATTACTCATCCTTAAAGGCTGAATTCAACATTAAAGGCAATAAGAAACCATTTCCTATGTTGACACCCTGAGTTCTACATAAAGATCATCTGGATGAATTACAAGAGATGAGCCAGATAACCCCCCTGTCAAACAAACAGCAGAGTATTGTAGAGGTCACTAAATTTAAAGTGCTGGTTTTAATTTTATTTATTTCTTAAGAAACCTTTCTAAAAAGGTGTGGCAAGGATATTACACAACAAAACAACTTTAATATTTTGGCTTTATGTAATGTTATAAAAGATTACGTGATGTAGACATAAACTAAAAGAAGTCTGAATTATAACTGTTGCTTTATACGTCACATTAATTCCACTCTTGTGGAGTTTTGGAGAAATACAAGCACAGTAATTCTTGCAGAAAAACTAATAAAACTACAGACCAGTTGTACAGATTTTTTTTTCCATTTGTAAAAAACAGAGAAAGTGGTATGTATGACATAAGATCAGCAATGGGAGCTGCAGTCCTTCATTCAGTGGAGACTGGTTTACATAAAAAGCAAACGAATAGTGAGACTTATCATGCAACAACTGTTCAGTAGCCTACAGATGATGATGCAGTAGTGCCTGTTTGAGAAGTGCCCAGCTGTCACTGCTAGTGTTCATCCCTGATAGCAGTCTCAAACAGTGTAAGGAAACTACAAGCCCTGAAGACTATAGTAATCTTTGCTTTCTAGAATTACATAATTACAGAACAGGACAGTTTAAAGGTATTTCTCAAGCGAGCAGTGTCCAACATGTAACAGCAGAATTTCAAATTAAGGTGAGATCAATGTAATATTTTTGATAAGAATTATCTATATTTTTAACAGTACAAAGCCAACCCAAGTCTTTCAGATGCATTTTTATTTGTGCTAAAGGCCTACCTTTCATAAAATAACTTGCACTTACAAAGCAGAATTGTTGAGTTAGAAGAAATATTTTGCATTTTGATAGTAAAATGAAAATAAATAAGTCAGAAGTTCATCACCAGAGCTTCATATTGCTCTCTTCCAAGCACAGTGTTAAAAACATGAAACTGAACTTTCCAAGTACTTGTTTTTGATATAGCCTTTCAAAATAAATAAATACGTAATAAACTGCTTGCTTGTCCTTAAAAGTATTAATAGAACAGCAAAATATCACAGGGGTGTAATGTTCTATTTCTTATACTTATGAAACAGTATAAAATACAGAAAATCAAAAGCTCCCAATAGCTACAGTTTCACTAATGCTGAATCATTTGTTGTTTAAAAGTCATTATTTACATATAAAAAGCACCTCCTTATTTACAGACAAATCAAATGAAAAAAAATGCACTAGGAAAAAGAGAAGATGCTGACTCTAAAACACATCGGCTGGATTCTTCGTGTAGTTAGTATACAGCTTTGATAACACAGAAAATTCAATTGGTTTATTGACCTTAACATGTCAAAGAAAAAAAAAAAAAAAAAAATGCAAAGTCCAGTTACAAAAGGTGGGAAATAAAAACAATTCAGCATATCTTCACGACATTAAAACAGTAACTTAAGGAATTCATTGTAGGTCTCCTGTAGGTCTGTGTGGTCTCCTACTGCTCATTAATTATGTAGGGCACGCATCTGAGATCTAGAAAATGCAATACTTTCTGCAACTCTGAATTACAGTTTCCTCTTCTACCAGGATAGCATTTCTAGACTGTTTCTACATTTAATGATGCTTCTGATGAGTGAACAAACTCCTTGGTAGACACTCAAGTGAACTTTCTTTATTAACAGCCTAATTTACTACTTTAATCTACTCCACAGCCTTCTCCATTGGAGAATCTACCGAATGTCTAGGGAGAGAATATTACATTATATGTATCACTATAGCAACTAACCTAATTGATCTGATGCAGGTTTCTCTTCCACCATAGGATGGAGCCACTATCCCTATGTATAATCTAAACATTTAAGAAATAATAAGTTATCTGCTCATCATTTTACAATGACAAAGAACATAACTGTACTTTGGAAAGTAAAGTATAAATTAAATCTAATGGCTTGTACACATACATTCAGCGCAGGCTTCATAGTATCTGTTTAGCTGTCAGCTGGAACTCTGAGTACAGTATTTACTAGTTGCTTTCAGTAAACAGGAACAACCATGGAACAATAAATACGCTCCCAGAAACAGAGACACAAAGTAATCAGGAGAAAGGAAAGAAATATTCATTGACTAATTCAGGAACAAGCTTCACCAGAGTAGTATATTAAAAATTAAAATAAGCATGAAGTAAAGTAAAACTTCAGAAGTTTTACATTTTCCCTTTTCCACAGCACTGTAAGAAAAAGTTCTGATTTTTTTTTTTTTTTTTTTTTTTGAGCCGCAGAATTTGATGCAAATGATACAGTGGGAGAAAAACAAAAACGAGGTTCCTGTAGTAACATGAACAATACATTCACATGATTGTTTTTTTTCCCACAGAATCCTGCTTCATATAAGAGATATAAGAGATATAAGTAACCATACTGCAATTTAGCTGAATATGAGGTTTGTAGAGAAATACAGAACTTTTTACATGGTCAAGTTATTCTCCATTTACATTTAAAAAAAACGCAAGACTCTTTCTCTTAAAAAGCAAACCAGTCATTATCCTCGCCACCACAATTATGCTTTTTCTCAAAGAAAAAAAAATAAATAAATCAGCTGAAGGAAAAAAAAATGAATAAATTCTAGGTTATCTTAAAAAGAATTCATAATTTTGCAGTACTTTACCTTGAAATAGCTGTATTTTTTTCCTTGATTTTTAGATATCTTCAGCCTTTACACAGAAAAAAACATTTTTGCAATTTTGCAAATAGTACAGCTAGATGAAGTGTACACGGTGCTTCATTAACATTTGGAATTGTGGTTGTCAAATGAGTGAAATATTGCATAAATGGTGGAGTGTTTTGACACTGCATATTTTAGGCTGCATAGTGTTTTTCAGCATTATACGGCATGAAGAGTGCACTCCATGTGGAAAACTACTGACACTGAGTGAGATAAGTAATTAGGAACTGGTCATTTAAACACATCAGAAATTGTCTTCCTATTAGCTAACATTTACATCTATCAGTGAATAATGCCAATAATAAAGAAGATGTAACAACTCAAGTTAAAGGCTTTACTCCTTAAAAAGAGAACAATGTCAAACCTCTCACTGTTGAGCAAAAGCATCTTCAAGGACTTTACAATTAATGCTTTCTGAGGTTATGCTCATAGAAGATAAACTCACAGAAGAATTTACGTCATTTCATAAAAAGCTTAGGATCCTCCAGAGATTTCTAAAACAAACTTACTAAATTCCTTAATAATTCCCTTTACATTTGAACTATTCATTCTCAAACATGCTCTTACTGATGCACTTCTCCCTCGGTATGTATATCAATTCTTGTAAATCTTAAGTGTCGCCAAGTATACCCTACATATTAGTACACTGAATATGAGAATACAGATCTATGTACAAAATGAAATTATTTAGAAGAGTGGCCTGTTTGAGATGATTTTGAGATGAGAAGTGCAAAGCAAAGTGTGTTAAATTATAAGTCATTACAAAATATGCTATTCTTTTTTGGAATAAGCTTCGTCTCGCTGTTGTCAGCACAGCATCCCTGTAATGTGCTGAGAAATGAATTAAAGGTTTTCTTTGCCAACTCTTTTTTCAGAAAAATAAAAAAAAAGAAACATAGAAGAACAGGAGAATGGGCTACATTTTGAAAGAAATGGAACAGAGTTAAAAAATGCAGCAGACATGCTCCTGAAAACCAGAATCCATTTCCTATTCATCATAACCTCCACCTATTATAGCCCAACACAACAAGCCCAGAGAAAAGTCTTCATATTACAGCTAAGGAAAAGAATAAACACTATGGCTATATTATAGGTCACACTCAGCTTGGGAAAATACAGTGTGGATGCTGTATCTGGCAAAGTTGTGCAGGCCCCTCCTGATAAGTTACTGTTTTGTATTTAATTACTGGATAGGAATTTTGCTTGCTTGCTTCTACTCCTCCAGTTGGAAAATTATTAACCTGGTATGATGGTGAAACGTGCATGCCCCAAAAGAATGGGTAGTAATAATATTTATATTGCATAACTGCTTGTAAGTTACACTTCCTGAGATCACAGAACTGGAACAAGAAAAAAATTCAGACCTTTAAAAGTACTGGTATTTCAGCCACTTGATTCTTAGAGATTTATCTCCAAGTGAGTGTGATTAATGGACTATCTACCAAGCTTGAAAAAGAATATGCAACACTCTACTGATGAACCTAAAACCAATAACAAGGGCTCACTAAACTGCTGAGGATGTTCTATGGGAGCATCCTGGCTTGTTCCAGTGCAATTTCAGTCAGAGAACCACACATGATCCAAGAGGTGTCAAGGCACCTGTCGCTTGACTAAGTATACGCTTCCTACAGGAATTAACATAAGCAAAATTGCTCCCATTGATGAAATGTGGACTGAAGTAGTAAAGCATGTATGCAGAGGGAGAAGTGGCTAACATCTGGTAACAGATCACTAGATCACTGTTACTGCAATTGAAAAGTTAGCTCCTTAGATCCAATAAGTGTTCATGCTTACAGTAGATACGCCATATCTTCAACCTAAGGACACTTTGTGCTTCCAAGAAACAGCAGTATTAAAGTGTCACTCTACCTAATTTACCAGGAGAGGAGTCAAACTGTAGTATGTGCTGTAGCATGCACCTGCCAGACTCAAACCTCAGTCTTCACCTGAAGTGTTACCTAAGGATTTACATTCAGGAAAAGCACCAGGACAAACATGTACTTACTGCAGTAAGCGATCAGGAGACTAGCCAGGATCATGATAGCCCAGAAAGTTGAGGACATGCTTGGCAAGGCATTGGCATCTTTCCTACTGCTTCTCCTGGGAGATGGAGCCATTGAAGCCACTTCCCCAGAAAGGGACAAAGTCAGACAGGTTCACCAGCCAGCTCTCCCCAGGACCGACGGCCTTTCTCCACACATAATCCCAAAGGCAAGCATGTTCCACAGCCGCACGCTCCTCAGCAGCAGCACGCTCCTGCGGCAGGACGCATCTTCCAGCCGGAAAGCCCAAGAGTCTCTAAGGCGTGCAGGAGTTCGCTGCGGCAGCCGCAACCAGGTTTCCTCCTGCCGCCGTGGCGAGGTCCACCAGAGTCGGTGCGTCCTATGGGAACTCGGGGGCCTGGCGCTATGCCGAGCTTTGAAGATGTCCCACAAACGAGATTGCGTTTTGTTTTTTTTTTTCCGTCCCCCTCTCCTTCCTTTTTCAACGGGCAGAAATTATCCCGCTCTCTCCTCGCTCTCCTCCCCCTCTCCCAGGAGAGGGGATCTCCTCAGACACGGACCGGGGCCGAGGCGGTGCCAGCAGTGGGGCGGCCTCTTCCGCCCCCCACCCGCCCAAGCGCCGCACTAGGGCGCCCACCGCCTGACGGCGCCACGCCGCATGGCAGCCGCGGGGCCGGGGCACCAGGGAGCCCGCCGCTACCTGCCGCCCGATCAACGCTTCATCGGACAGCGCCGCGGAGGGGAGAGAGTGGTCCCGCGGAAAAGACGGGGAGCCCGGCGGTTCCCGGCGGCCGGGGATGGAGACAGAGGGGAAGGACGGTCCGGTCCGCCAAGCAAAGCGGCACCCCGCGGCGAGCCCAGCCTGCTCCCTTTCCCGGCCGGTCCCGCGGATTCGCGGCGAGCGGGACACTTCGCGCGGGGCAGTAGCGACAACGAGACGCTCTCCGCTGCGCAGCCACAGCTCCGCTCGTAATCTCTGCAGCAAGAGCGACGCTGGCCTTTCAAGTAAAAAAAGGAGGAGGAAGAGGAGGAGGAGGAGGAGGAGGAGGGGGGACGGTGGTCACGCCCACAGGTGAAGAGCGCACGGAGCTGCCCTTCTCCCGGCGCCGCACCACCTGCGCGCATCCCCTGCAGCCGCGATCCCGCTCGCCGCCGCCTCCGCTGCGGGCGCGGTGCGGGGGCCCTTGGCGGTGGCGGCGAGCTCAGAGGCTCGGAGAGGCGATGGGAGGGAAGGAGGCAGCGCCCGGCCAGAGCCCCCGGAGCTCCCGAGACGGCGTTTCCAAAGGAAGGGAGGGGGCCTGAGGCCTCTGCCTGCCCCATCACCTGCACAGCTCAACATCTGTGGTCACAGAAACGTTTGTCGAATCACTAATCTTGGAAAGACCAGTAAGATCGTTTAGGTCAACTGTCAGCCCATGCCTGCAACCGCTGTAGAGCATTTCTCTCAGTGTGTCCTCTCCCCTTTTCTTGAAAATCTCTAGGGACAGTGACTCCATCACCTTCCTAGGCAATCTGTTGCAATGCCTCACCATAGTTTCTGAGGACATTTTTTTCCTAATATCTAACCTGAACCTCCCCTAGCTTTACTGAAGGCCATTACTTCTCCCTATCACTCTTTACCTGGGAGAAGAGTCCTGCCCCACCTCACCACAACCTCCTTTCAAGCAGTTGTAGAGAGCAATGAGGTCTCCCCCGGACCTTCTCCAGGCTGAACAATCCCAGCTCCCTCAGCTGCTCCCCATAAGAATTGTGTTCCTAATCTCGCAGCTTCATTGCCCTCCTCTGGACAAGCTCCAGGGCCTTGATGTCTTTCTTGTAGTTTCCTCCTATATTCATCTGTGGTCCTTATTGGGCACGTGGTTTCTGTCACTAACGGGTCAGGGATGCATTGGTGTGGAACTCTGCTTAGGGGCTCCACCCATGCTCAGTAGTCTTCAGGGTAATAAAAAAACCTTGGTGTGTTAAAAGGGCCCAAATACTTGAGCCTTTCAATTTGAAGTCTCCATGGCAGTGTCTTCAAATTAATTTTTGAAGTTTTGTACAAAGTGGTCATGCTCTGGGTACAGGCAGGGATGGTAAACAAGAAGAAGCTAGGTCATAAAATATCCCAACCACATCCTCTTGTATTTATTTAGTATATTTGAACTCGGTTAGGTACTTGGAAATAAGTTCAGTTTTGCATCATGAAAGTGTTGTCAATGTTTTGTCTGATCTTCCGATCTGATTTTCTACCAGGGTCATCTTCAACCTTAACTGTTAGGGCAGTAGGCTAACGTGTTCAACATATGCCTACATGTGTGTTCAAGTGTTCATGTGTGAACACAGAGATGTAGCTAACTATCACTTTGGTATACATATGCACAACATCCTCTCCCAGGATGTGGCCATACTTACAGTTGGAATTTATTTATGTTACAGTTAAAAATCAGAATGTAACCTGACAAGCTTTATTCTCCACCCCCATATCATTTAAAAAAGCTTTTTTATTATTTGCATTTAGAGATTACATTTATGTAACACCTTCTATCCCTCACTTAGACACCAGATTTCCTTTGTAAGTCAATATAAATTCCTTGCCTCCCTTGGTATCCTGAAGTATTAGTTCAATTTGATGTTATAAAGTACTACTGCATAATGAGTTTTTAAAAAGAATTGGACTTTCAAATTCCCTATTCTCAAAACAAATGTAAATAAGTATTAAGCAACAAAAATACCCCAGCATGATGTGCTACTGTTCATTGCAATTCCAGGACTAACATGTAAATTAAGCCATTTTCTGGATATGTGAAAAGAAAATTGATTTCCATTACACCTGCATATATTGAACATACTGTTGAATTATATATTTTAACTATTACAAGAAGGAGAAAAACCACGAGTAACTTGATAAGAGATATATAGTGTGACATATAAATTAATAAACTTTAAAGCCATGAGGAATAGCTGCAGTTTTCTATATGCTGCTATACCTTTCAGTATAGTCCATAGAATTTTATAAAGCAAATCTTATAGTTTACCCATCAGTCTGTGGTTATACAAGGGGATTTCCCTTGGAAATACATCAGTTTTAACTCTGAGGAATGGGAATCATGATTACTGTTCAACTAAATAAAGCCTGAAGCCTTGCAGAGGTGAAAGTATTGCTTTGCTAGTTGTGAAAATTGACATTGCTCACTTGAGACCAGGCTAACTCTGCTGGCTGAGAACTACTTTGGCTACTCAGAAAGCAAGGTACTGCACTCTGAGAAAAAGGATTACTGTGATGGGGCCTACAAAGCTATCCACATAATAGTTTTATGTGAGGCATATTACATTCTGATTTGTTTGTCAAAGACAAGCCTTAAAATTCCTTAAAAATAACTGTGTCACTGTTGTTAGGAAGCTTGAGTTTTGAGCCCAAGCAATGTTCTGCTATGTGGGGTATTGAGAAATAAGTCACATTAGAGGGACACTACTCATAGACTGAAATTCTACCTGGTGAAACAATGGCAGGACATGACCTTAAAGTAATGTGTTTGTATCCTTCTTGTCACGTCTTTGCCCATGGTCATTTTCAAGGATATTGTGTTATGCCTGATGCCTCTAATACTTACTTTTTCCTCCAACAAATTCCCGGTATTCAAACCTATGAGTGTGCAGAGATGTAGAAACAATGATTAAAGCGATAGACAGATGTCTGAAAGCAAGTATACCTTGAATAAGAAAACAGAAAACCACAATAAAGGCTGTATGTCAAAGCTTGTCAGAAATCAGATTTATTCCCCTACAATCAGGGACACAGATCTCTTGTTCTGCCACTGCTGTTGGCAGAGTTAATGTCTACAAGGAAATTAAAATAATAGTTATGCTATTTATTAAGATAGGGTGTGCCATTGCTCTGACTAAAATTACAAGCAAAATGTTTCTATTGACTTCAAACAGGCATAGTTTGAAGTCTGTTGTATGCTGTATTTATGTGTCAGACAGTTTGTGCGTGATGTGTATACGCACCACTGCTTTCTGCTAGAATGTCAGACCTGTAAAGCATGTGCAGTGATGTTGACCTCTATTACAGGTGCAGTCTCAGAGGATAAATCCTAACGTACTGTTAGCACAGAGCATGTAGAGGGTAGAGGGAAAGAAACATTCTTCAGGTCTTACGCAGAGACCTTCTGTTCTTTCTGAGTTTTTTCATTTACTTTGATAAGAGAAATTTGAAGTAGATGGTGGTTAAATTCTGTGGCAGTGATTACATGCACATAGTAAAGAATTACTAACCAATAATATATGAGCCAATAATTGAGTTTTAGCTTTAGGTAAAGTGTTTTAGTTGATTCAAGGTTTTGATTTAAAAAAAAAAAAAAAAAAAAAAAAGAATTTCTGCTTAAATGTGCTAACATTGAGAGAAATGGTTTTTTACAACATTATAGACATGATTTATATACAAAAAATCTATGTAACATCAGCTTATTATTTTATCTCACCAGAATTTTCAGAGAAAAGGCAGTGGAGGTTAATACTGAAAAAGTAACAAAAAAAACCAAAATATTTAAAGTTTTACACTATCACTTAAGCCAATTATCCAGTTATTTGCAAAGACAAACAGAAAAACATTAAAAAAAAAATGACAGTAAAAGTACACTGTCTGTACAAAACATTTTTATACATGTCAGTACAACTGATCTGTTGTCAAAACATCCATATTATTGTTCTGACCAAATAGTATTCATAGAATTCACACTAAATTTCAGGAAAAGTCTGAAGGTGAACCATGCATTTTAATTTCAGTGTGTGACAAATGCAAGTCTACACTTTTAAGAAAAATAATGGCAATATGATATCTTATCAAAGTCTATGCATGTTTTTCAAGACATCCTCACTGTAAATAACCAAGAAATTTAATGGTTTTGTTGTTGTTGTTTTCTTAATATTTCATTCTCATTTAGATCCTTAAAATATTGAGCTAAAGAAACATAGTAACAGTTAATACGCAAAAGCAAACTTGGCTCAAATGTCAGAACTAAGGTGCAGTTAAAATAAAATGCATCTCTTTATACCACTTACAAATAAAATGTTTGTTTTTATGATGTGGGTGTGTAAGATTTCTTTGCACTGAAGTGCCTACAACTGATGTGGTAGATAAGTACGTTTCTGTAACTTAGCAACCTTCACTGTTTCAGGAAAAAAAAAAAAAAAAAACAGGTATCTGGAATGCTATTATTGAAATATTCTGGAGTTTAGCAAATTATCAAAGCATTCAGAAGTGAGTCATTACCTGAGCTACAGTGCTGCTATAGACTGGATCTGACAGTAATAGCAGAAATAACTAACTTGTATACAGAGGCAATTTAGGAAGTTATTTTTAAATATTAAGAAAAAGATCAGGACGTGACAAAATAAAACTAAAATAAATAAAAATTATTGTAGATCATTTTTGTTTCAGTATATAGATAAAGAATCTGAAGGATATGAGATCATACCTAACTGAGCAAATTTCTGTGTTGGAAATTATATAAATTATATAAACTATAAAATCTGTTGTGGGTTAGATCTAGTTTCATTTAATATATTAAAGTGAAAGGAACATTCAGTTGTCATTTTGAAAGTACAGAAAAACGTGTGTTTGATATGTAGCCATTATCATACAAAACGCTTTTTCAATAGGATTTAAGCAAGGAAAGAATAAAAAGATTTTTGGGGTAATGTACTCCGTTTTTGTCTGGTTTTGTTCTAATTTCCTTTTATAAGCTTTCTTTTCATGACATAACACAATTTGTTAACTTACACATCATAGAAATGTTAAAGACTGTGGGATCGCAAAAAATATATTTTGTTTTTTTCCCTCACTTTCTCCTTTGTCTTTTTATGACTGTAAGATGTAGTTCTCCAGGATAGAGTAAACAATGTATCCTGTGGGTGTACGTCCTATATATTCAGCAACTACCTATTTGAGAAAAAGAAGTAATTGTAGATTTGGCACTTGCATGACCCTGGCATTTGTCTTTCAGAGAGCATGCTC